AAAAAAAAAAAAAAAAAAGATAAGCATAATAATTCCCGGCTTTCCTCCTCCACCTTCTACAGACGATGCCATGTCAAACTATGATTAACACTCAACAGGGAAGGTTGTATGGCACATGCTTGTGATCCCAACACTGGAGGGCAAGGAGTCAATTTGGGAAACAAGTCTGGGATACCCAGTTAGACCATATACAGAAAACTCTATAGCCAGGCCTCCTGGTACAAGACTATAATCGCAACTACACAGGAGGCTGATGCAGAAGGGCCAATAGTTCAAGCCCTCCGTTGGCAACTCAAAAACCCTGCCTCAAAATACTAGGAAAAGGGTGAGGATATCTCATCCAGTTGGCAGACTACTTACTTAACATATGCTGACAGAAGGCTAACAGAAGATCCAGAGACAGCCAGCACCTGCATACTACACAGTAAAACCAGCAAGTGGATGCCTATGTAATTAAAGGCCAATCCAAAGAGTGAATTTGGTGGCAAGAGGTAGAAACAAGATGTTATATAGCTTCATCTGAGAGATATGCCCAGTCGTTGAGAAAGCGGAATCTAGTGACAGACCAATTACTCAGGCAGCTAGGGGTAGGAAGCTCCCAAACTCCAGGTCTGTCTAAGCAAACTTAGTGAGTGAGACCCTATCTCAAGAAAAAAACTTGAAGGGGTAAGGGATTCAGGTCAGAGAGAATGCTTCCCAATCAAGCACAAGACCTTGGGTTCAATCCCCAGGACCACAGTGAATCTTCAAGCAGTACACCAAGGAGCATGTTTGTTAGTTTTAGACCTAGGTATAGAAAGAGTGGCAAGTGTTCCACTGACAGGAACACTTCCCTACCCTAAAGTGAAGGGGAGACTTGGCCTCGATGGGCATCCTCCAATTCTGAGCATCAAACAGCAAGACCCCACATTCTAAAAGTTCCAATCAGTCTCAGTCCTGGGCATCACTTACTTAGCTAGAACCCCAACACTATAACTGATTCCTGCAGTCTAGCAGAGCAAACGGCCTACATCTCTCTTCTTATATTCCATCTAGTCTGCCAAATGCTAGCTCAGCAAACTACAGCCTGCAGGATGACATACACACAGAGACTTTTAAACTTTGAAAGATTAATGTAGAATGTTCAAAATCTATTTTTTCAATGACCTACTTTTCTATGACCCTATCTGTAGGTTTCAAACCGAAGATCTATTGTGACCTACTATAAGAGGTGATAGTAAATACAACTACAGGAAATAGCCCAGAGCACATGCCAGACAGAGACATGGAGTCAGTAAGCACTGAAATGCTAGGTCCAAACACCAGGACTGTGCAGAGGTCTGTTAATATGTACCTGTAGATACAGACATACACACCAAGCCCTGAAATTCCAGGACCAAGGAACCAAGGCAGGAACAGACTGCAAGCACCACACATTCCAACACCTCTGGTCGGTACCTGGCTGATACTTACAAACTGTGCATTCTCAGATCACAGCTCATCACCTCAGAGTCCCAGAACACCTGCTAAGCTGGAAGACTACCCATAGGGTCCAAAGTACACACGGCAATCTCCTGAGCAACCCTAGCTATAGGCTAAAGAGAGGAATCTGAGTTCAGGGAATAGTGAGCCCACCCCACTACCATCAACAAATTCCTACTCACCAGGCACATAAACAGAGGGGTTCTCTGACATGCCAGGCAGTGGCTGATAGTCATGAGGCCTTCGAATCTTCAATGACTGGCCCTGGAAGATGATGCCATCAAAGGCCATGGCCTGGGTCGTTTCATCCACTGAGCGGAACTGAAGGAAAAAGAACGGTAGAATTAAGGGGTAAGCAGGGACTAGATTAAACCACTCCCCAACCCCCAATACTGTAACTTTCCTCCCACTTGTTTAAACAAGTATCATGTACCAAATCCTGGACTGGCCAATGGAAGAACAGCCACAAGATTGTCCCTAAAAGCTCATACTCTAGAAAGCAAATATCTTGGCATCCAACAGATTATGAAAGCAAGCATACAATCATAAGCTCTGACAGACAACGCTAGAAAGACACCAACTGCTGAAAGAAGTCAGCATTAAGACATTCGGTCAACTGATTTAGGAGCAATGACAGCCCAGGCTTTCTGATGAAATGACATTTAAGCTGAAGTCTACAACAGTTCAAATAAAGCAGATTCTGATGGGCAAGTGCAGACTGAGAAGGAGCACTCAAACACCTCAGCAGATTAGATCACTTCAGCACATCCACTGTTTCCTGGGTATGGCCCAAGAGTTGAAAGCTAGGTCTTTAGAGACAATTAAGAGAGTAACTGCTTTGAAATGAGACTTATAAACATCTGGAGTAAACTGCTTCAACCGAAGTCCAAAGCAGAAAAAGACAGATTGTGTGCTCTGCAGTGTCAGTGTAGCCTAAGCAGAGTGGACTGGGCCAAAACTGTACAGAAACCAACAAAGCAAGCAGAACCCAAAAAGGTCTCCCAGGCAAGAGAGAAGAGAGAAGGTATGCAGCAGGATGGGGACTGCAGAGCTTCTACAGCAACCAAATGCAAACTGGGATGCAGAGAAGAAAGCAGTCAGAGTGGGCAGTACAAGACAAGCCCCACTATCCCTTACTCCATCACTGGAAAGCTCACCTCCAAAAAGGCAAAATTCTTGTCTTGATTAATCTGCACAGCCAAGACTGGGTTGCCAGGGGCCTGAGTCAATCCCCCCAAGCGCATCTGGGCGT